ATAATAGTTAGGATTTAGATAGCATTTTAAGGTTTACAAAGCACTTTCCAAATATTGTCTTGCTTATCTTCACAACAACTCTGGGAGGTAAGTGAGGAATATATGGAATATATTATAGATGAGGAAAGCTGAAGCTGAGTCAAGTTAAGTGCTTTGCCCAAGGTCACACAACTAGTATCGGAAGCCAGGTTTGAACCCAGGTCTTCCTGACTCCAGGTGCAAACTGGAACTCATAAAAGTGAAGTGACTTGTCCAGATAAAATGGCTTATAAGTGGTCAGGACAGTTCTCATCTAAATCATCTAACTCCTGCTGCAGACCTCCTCCCACTATTCTGTTTTCCTTGAGATGGTAAGATTGAGAAACAGAACCAGAGTGAAAGACACTGAGAGGTGGAGGCAGAGAGTCTAATGGATAAAGCACTGACCTGGGTGTTGGGGGAGACCTGGGTCGAATTTTCTATTTCTGCCATTAACTGTTTATGTAACCTTAGGCAAGTGACTTAACTTAAGTAAGTCATTTAACTCTCCTAGATACCCTCTATGATATCAGGGAATGTACTAGATGACTTCTAAGGTTCCTGCCAAATCCAGTGCTCTTATGACCCATTGATCCTATACCTCTTTTTTGAATCGTTCAGCGAAGTTCTTGTAGGCATCTGAGGATGTGTTTTCTAAGTCCTTCGTAAATTCTATATTAGTCACAGACACTTTCATTTTCACCGTAGCATTGACTTTTTCTGGAGGAGAGCCTGGTAGAAATGGACTTGATTATGAGCATACAAATCATTCACAATGAAAACTCTGTATCCCCCATGCTTTGTCACCTTCCACCCACTCCCTGAGAAATGTTCGGGTACCTTCGGTCCCTTTTCACTCCCCTGTACCCACCTCAGCTGTTGATGTAGCTAGCCTCAGAGCCCTGAGACCCAGAGATGTTTGGCTTACCTATTGGAAGGCTTTCTGAAACATATTCACACTTAGGGCCGTAGAAGAGGACATTGCAGATGCATTTGATTCCATCCCAGATGCCATCATTCTCGCACACAATTTTCTTCCCCTCACATTGCTTTCCATAGTAACCACTGGGACAGATGCAGGAGGTTCCATTCCAAGTACCTCCATTTAAGCATATCACTGAAAGAATTGAGATACTCAATGCAGTTATGGAGAGGGGGAGAAATGGAAGAAAGAAAGTGGTAGGAAGCCAAAGCAAAAGGTTTGGGGGAGAAAAAGATGAGTCTTGAGGGGAAGAGAAAAGTGACGAGACCAAAGAAAGAGATGCAGACTGTATGAGACTTTGACATGGAGAGAGAGTGTCATTTTGCCTGGACTCATTCGCATTTTCTTATACTCACTTTGTACTTTCCCCATCCCAGTGATTCTGAACCCCTAGCTATTGATGTAGACATCACCACATCCCCATCCCTTCAACCCCAGATGTGTCTGCTCCTTCCACTGTCCTTTAGAATGCTTCCTCCATAATTAATAAACTTTCCTTAACCTTAAATTTCTACCTTTTTCAGTCCTCTCTTTTTCTGGCCTCATGACATAGCTTCCTTCTAATAACACCACTTTCCACCATTTCCAGTACTCAAATAAAGATTCCTCCTCATTTTCTATCATTCATATATGTTCCCTGACTATCTCCCCATTACTCTAGTCTCAGATAAAGAGGTGGTCCTCTTTACCAGAGCCAACCCTCTATCCTTTATCCTATTCCCTCCTAACTTTTCCAGTAGAGTGCTCCAATCCTCCCTCTCCTCCTTCTCCTTCTTCTTCTTCTTCTTCTCTCTCTCTGTCCCTTTCTCTTTCATTCTTTTTCTCAAATCTCCAATTTCTCTGTATCTATAGACTCTTTCCCTGTTATCTTCAAACAGGCCTTTGACTCCCTAATCCTCAACAATCTCTCACTTGATCCTACCATTCCAACTAACTATTGTCCTGTAATTTTTCTCCCCTTCATGGCTAAACTCTATGAGAATGCTATGTACCATTGGAGGCTGTACTTCCTCTTGTCTCACTCTCTGCAAGTGGGCTTCTGACCTCATCATTCAACTGAAACCATCCTCTCCGGTATTACCAGTATTCCCCAAAATCTGATGGCCTTTTCTCCGTCTTTATTTTTCTTTGTAGCATTTGACACTGTTGGTCACCTCCTCCTGTATAGTCTGAGTTTTCATGATACTGCTCTGTTTGACCACTCCTCAGTCTCATTTGCTGGCTCTTTATCAGGCTTCATCTTCATCAGTGTCAGGCTCACTAATTATGAATGTCCCCCAGGGCACTACCCTAGGCCCTCATCCCTTTTTTCTTTACACCATCTTGATCTCATCGTCTCCTATGTGTTCAAAAATTATTTCCGTAGAGATGATTTACAGATCTATATAACCAACTGTATGCCCCCTCAGCTACATTCCTGTTTTACAGCTGCTCTTAGGACTTCTCAAATTAGATGCCCCATAATTATCTCAAACTCAATATCATTTCCCCAAAACTCTTCCCTTTTCTAAATGTCTGTATTACCATTGAGGCCCCACCATCTTCTCAGTCACTCAGGCTCAAAATGTCATCCTTGACTCTTGGCTTTTGTACACCCACATAGCGAATTCATGGCTAAATCTCATTGTTTCTACCTTCACTTCATCTCTCACCTATGTCTCCTGCTCTTCACTCTTCCAGTCACAACCCTAACTGAGGCCTCATCACTTCTTACCTAGAATATTGCAATAGCCTTCTGACTGTTCTCTCTACCTCAAATCTCTCACCATCCCAATCCATTCTTCTCTCAGCTGCCAAGATGATTTTTCTAAAACACAGATCAAACCATGTCACCTCTTACTCAGTGAGCTCATAACCTCCAGGATCAAATATAACCTCTCTCTTTGGCATTTAAATCTCTCCATAAACCAGCCCCTTCCTACCTTTCCAGTCTTATTACACTTTACTGCCCTCCATGAATGACAAGATCTAGTTATATTACTGTTCCTGAAAGAGGACACTGCGTCTCCCATCTCTACCCCTTTACGCTGGCTGTCTCCCATGTCCTGAATGCTGTCCCCCTTCACCTCTGACTGTTAATTTCTCTGGCTTTCTTCAAGACTCAGTTCAAAGTCTCCTTTCTGCTGGAGGCATTTCCCAGTCCCAGAAGTTGCAAGTTTAAGCATCCTCCCCCAGAGTGCCTGCTGTAAACTGTGGCTATATCGTATATGTACCTAGTTATATTCCCATATTGTCTCCCCCCATGAGAAGGTAAGCTCCTCCAGAGCAGGGACTATTTTTGCCATTCTTTGTATGCCCCACATAGTGCCTAGCAGATAGTAAGGGCTTAAGAATTTCGTGTTGACTGATTGACTGAAAGATGTGATGGAGAGGCAAGTAAAGAGAAGGAGAAATTGGAAGAGAGAGGTGCAGACCATGTGGCATCTGGAATGAGGACTGGGAAGAGACAAAAAGGAGGAAAGGACTCCATGAGGCCAGTCCATGCATAGTCACTTACATTTTAGGAGACATTAAAGCATTAAAGTACAAGCCTTTGTGGGAATGGAAGGTTGAACCACAACCACTTATGAAGGAAGTTATAGAGTTTCACAGAAAAAAGGCCAAGAGCAACAAAATGGGATTGGAGAATAGGTGAATGTCAGCATAAATGAATATCTACAGGAGGCCATGCCAAGACTAAAGGGAAAAAATAGACAATAATGAGTGATATATGATGGTTCTAGGCAGTAATAGCAAGAGAGGACTGGAAAGGAAATTAAGGTGGGAGAGGAGGTAGCTCCGCAAATGAAATTAAAGCTCCAAAAAGAAAGAGGTAGACAGAAGGATGGCATTAATGAAAGAAAAGACAGAGGAAAAATAGAAACAAAGAAGTTAAAGGCCCCAAAGAGGCACTTACATGGAGTAGTAGTTGATGGTGTGGTGGCTGGAACAGTTGTGAGAGAAAGAGTGGTGTCAGATTTTGTGGTGCCGGGGAATATGGTCCCTCCAGTGGTGCTGCTTGGCCTAGTGGTATCCTTAGTTGTTGAGCCAGGTGAATCAGTGGCTACTGCTGTCAGTGGGAAGGAAGTGAGAGCCTGGGTGGTCCAAGGGAGTGTGCTGCTCTGCTCTGTGTTACTCTGAGATGTGGGGCTGGTCTGAGTGTAGCCAGGAAAAGGAGTGGCTGTGGCTGAGGTTCCTGGGAAAGTACTGGCAGCTGCTGTTGTCCCTTGCGTAGTGTTGAGAGACTCGGCAGTTACAGTCGTAGTACTCTGAGAAGTTGGGCTAGTGAAGGTGGAGCCAGGGGAAGACATAGCTATTCCTGAGGTCCCTGGGTAAGCAGGGGAAGCTGCTGTTGTCCCTTGGCTCCAGGTGACAGCCTGGGTGTTCAGAGTCGTTCTCCTGCTAGGCTGGGTGGTAATTTGAATACTGGAACTAGTAGAGGTGGAATCCTGAGAGGATGTGGCTGTGGTTGAGATCCCTGGAGAAGTAGTGGCATCTGCTGTGGTCCGTTGGGTAGAGGTGAGAGTCTCAGTGGTTAGAGTCGTCGTCCTCTTAGAATTATTGGTACTCTGGGAGGTGGGACTGGTGAAGTTGGAGCCAGGGGAAGGTGTGGCTATGCCTAAAGTATGTGGGGAAGCAGTGGCAGCTTCTGTTGTCCTTTGGATCCAGGTGACAGCCTGGGTGCTCACAGTGGTTGTAATGCCAGCGTCTGTGGTACTATGAGGTGTGGGGCTGGTAGAGGTGGTGGCAGGCGAAGATGTGGCTGTGGATGATGTCCCTGGGGAAGTAGTTGCAGCTCCTGTTGTCCCTTGGGTAGTGGTGAGCACCTCAGTGGTCAGAGTTGTAGTACTGTCAAAATCAGTGGTACTCTGAGAGGTGGGGCTGGTGAAGGTGGAGCCAGGTGAAGATACAGCTGTGGTTGAGGTCCCTGGGGAAGTAGTGGCAGCTACTGTTGTCATTGGGCTCCGGGTGAAAGCCTGGGTGCTCACAGTCGTTGTAATGCCAGGCTCTGTGGTACTCTGTGGTTTGGGGCTGTTGAAAGTGGTGGCAGGGGAAGATGTGGCTGTGGTTGAGGTCCCTGGGGAAATAGTGGCAGCTTCTGTTGTCCCTT